AAGAAGACACTGTTGCGATGGTCCCATCTTTATTATTTCAGGGGTTTTCAGTGTTTTATACAACTTCATAGGCTTCCTGGGGCCATCGCATAGCCACGGAATCCCTTAGCGTTTTTGCGTCGAGCTCATTTGGGTGGTAGAGCCAAGGCCACACAGCTGGCTACTTGTTGGGACTGAGGCAATAAGACAGGTCTTCAAGCTCATAATTCTGGGAAGTGCCTCTTTATTGCCATTGTTTTCAAACTCTTGCAGGAAACACGGGTGTATTGTTAGATTTGGGTAATTGATCAAATTGGTAGGCTTCTATAACTGAAATTAAGGGGATCCTTGAAAATTACAATCATCAAAACAATTTAAAATTAAGCGACCATCTCCATTTTGCGGCACGAGAATCCCCCAAAGTCCCAGGGATTTCCATTCCCTTTCTTTGGCCAGGCGGAGTTTAAATTTAGATCGCCTGCTTCACTGGGGCTTTGTATTATTACGTATGTTTTTGTGTGACTGAAAGATGTGCCTTCTAGCTCTGCCACCAACTGGCTGCAGGGCCCTAGACAAGTCACTTGCCCTTGTGGCTGTATTTACCTCCCTGGTCACATGTCAAAAGTTGACTCCAAGTGCCTTCGGGCGCTCCAATTTTATGCTGCTATTTCTCCAAATAGATAGTAAGCTTCCTGAGGTGAGACCAGCACCTGTGTGTATCCTCTGAACTTACCACATTGCAGGTATTTAATAAGTGTTTGATTATATCATTGAAAGACTGAAGTCTTGGCACACTGAGCTTGAGTGGATCTACAGGAAATCATAATTGACCACCTGATTAGCAATGAAATGTCTCTAATCCACATATATAATTCCCCTTTACATCGGTGAAACTTCCGCTTCTGGGAAATAAAGTATCACCCCTTCACATCAGTTCTGTTGCATGTTAGTACATTAGCCGCCGATATCTTATTTGTACTATAACTGACAGAACAATGTAGAGAAAGCATATAAGTATGAAAAGAGGTTAGTTAGGTAACATTGTATAGGGCATCTTCAAAACAACAGTTCTGGTATTTCAAATGTCAAGCTAATTATCAGCAATGTTTAAATGCTATGATAGACCATTTTTGCAAATGCTAAAATTTTCCAGCAGGTATAGACATGATAAAAATGTCACTTTTTGCTACTGTTCCGTTACATGTCACCAGAATACAAAAATCGGAAGGGGAAAAAAAAGTTATATCAATAGACAATAAAGAGAAATCATTATTTGTTTTGCATATGATTGTAAAATCAATTCATATAGTGATACAATTACGAGTATTGTTTGCTTAGGAGGAAGAATAGAAAGGATTTAATATAAAGCAATCTGGTGAAGTGAAAATAATGCTTATTACATAGATAAACTATTAAGCCCTTTAAATATAGGTTTTTAGTAATGCACATTCAGATATATCTTTCCAGGCCCATTTGCTATAAAGCAAATTTAAGTATCAGCTTTATACCCTTTGGTAACCCCATATTACACATACAGTTTTAGAGAAAATGAAACTTTAATATGATTCCACATAAAATGGTGAGTCATGCCAATAATTCATATGCACTTCATATGCAAATAGTTTTATCTTATCCATCAATTACCATGTAAACATGTATCACATGGCAAATTTCTCTGTAACACAGTACAGTACCTGTATATAATTATGGGTGCATTTTGCCAATGCAACTGTTACACAGAATTGTAATTAATTCCTCTGAAGATGACTGGGAGAGTTTTGGATACTGATGCTGTTTTTGGACATTTATTACTGCTCTTTAGTTGGCTTTTTGCTGTGCCTCAGAGACAGATGTAAAATTAGTGTCTATTTTGAGCCAGCAAACAGTACATCTTTCCTCTTGTTTATTGAATTGCAGAAAGGAATTCTTTGGGCTCCCACTTCTTTGTGGTTTTGAAGTAACTGTCTGTGTTTCTGCCAGCCATGTAGCTCCAATACATGTATACAATTTTACTGAGACACATGCAAGGGGTGGCTTATTTGACCTAACATAAGGACTGGGTAGAACTTATGTAGGCAGTCCTATGCTTTTAAATGCTGAATGAAAAAAACATGTATCATAAGTTCAATAAGAGACAGTGGACGGATATATTCTGCCCCCCTGACCCTCATTTAAACCCGGTATACATTGGTGATTATACAGAATTGAATCTCTTCTTTTCAAAGGCAAAGCTGTGTTATTAAGATCTCTTGATGCCAGTGGTGATGATGGTGGGCAAAGGGTGAACATGTGAATAAATAGGAAAATGAGCTTATTTTATTTTATAATGTGAATAGCAGTAAACACATCATGTATTAGCCATTCTATGGTAAGACTATTTTGTGGTGAGAATTTCCTCAGTACTTACTTCAGGCACATCCACTGACTAGACTTGAGAGAAAAATGTGCAGGGAAATCCCGGGGATTTAGATGTGGGGGGATGAGATGGGGAGCAGGAAAAGCATTGTCTGTAGTCATGGAT